TTGATTTGGTTTGACGGTTGGTTGGTTTGATGGTCAATTTCTTGGTTGGTTGGTTGGTTGGCTGGTTTGATGGTCGGTTTTTTGGTTAGTTGGTTAGTTGGTTTGTTTGTTGGTTGGTCGGCTGGTTTGTTTATTGGTTATTTTGGCGTGGAGGTCTAACATTCTGAGAGCTATCATAAAATCAAATCTGTTTATAATGTGTCAAAGTTTAATTGAATAATAAATATTTTTATGTGGGTGTTTACTTGTACAGGTATGTAACGCATGTTTGTATGTGCATGTGTGTGTATGCATGTATGTATAAATGTTTGTATGTATGAATATATGTATGTATGTATGAATGTATGTATGTATGTATCTGTGTGTTTGTGTGTTTGTGTGTGTATGTATGTGTGTATGTACGTACGTACGTATGTATGTATGTACGTTCGTATATATGTTTGTTTGTTTGTATACATGTATGTACTGTACACACAGTTCTAAATGTTATATGGGCCAATAAAGAGTACTTAATGGTTTTTATTGTGGTGTGACTGACTGTCCATATTTATAATTTCATTGCTTCATGTTTATTATGGTTGTTATGATTAGTAGTATTAGTAGTAGTAGTCGTAGTAGTAGTAGTAGTAGTATTAGTAGTAGTAGTAGTAGTAGTAGTAGTAGTAGTAGTAGTAGTAGTAGTATTGGTAGTTGTAGTCGTAGTATTAGTGGTAGTAGTAGTAGTAGTAGTGGTAGTGTGGTAGTAGTAGTAGTGGTAGTAGTAGTGGTAGTAGTAGTAGTAGTGGTAGTAGTAGTAGTAGTAGAAGTAGTGGTTAAAGTAGTAGTAGTAGTAGTGGTAGTATTAGTAGTAGTAGTAGTAGTAGTAGTAGTAGTAGTAGTAGTAGTAGTAGTAGTAGTAGTAGTAGTAGTAGTAGTAGTAGTAGTGGTAGTATTAGTAGTAGTAGTAGTTTTTAAGCCACCTATACAACAATATAATTTTTTTTGTTGTGGAAGTATTAAGTAATAAAAAGTCCTTGATCGTTCAGCTTGTTTGTCTGCTAGTTGAAATGATTGGGAAAAAAATGATTGATGTAGTGCTTGATTGAATGAATGAATGAATGATTGACTGATTAATTGAATGATTAATTAAACGAATGAATAGATAGATGGGTGAATGGATGGCTGGATGGATGAATTAATGAATGGACGAATTAAAGAAAGAAGGGAATAATGATTATCTTACAAATGGTTCAGTTTAGTATCACTTTTTGGTATTATCAACCCTGGTTTTGAACGGTAATGCTTAACTGCCGGCTACAGATATATATTTATATATCTATTAAATATTTTATTATTTTTATTTTATTATTTGTTGTTGTTATTGTTGTTATTATTATTATTATTATTAAATTTTCCTGGAATCTGTTTTTGATGTGGTTTTGCTATTTTAAACTCATAAATAATGGACTACAGCTGACAAAAAGGTTGATACACATATCTTCCATACCTACACTAATTAGCGGACAATTTGATGAATCTATTTTGTATGTTTTACTTTATATATATATATATTATATACATGTGTGTGGTGCTTGTGTGCGTGTGTATATATATATATATATATATATATATATATATATATTATAGATCTGCAATGTTATTGTATAAATTTAATTATATTATAATATAATTATTAATTATAATTTCTGAAAAAATTTTTTTTAGGATGTGTTCTATTCTCACAAAAATTACTTGCGCCCTGATTTGCAGCCGGAGACGTACAGGCATTTTGACCAAGAGGTTTTTATTATTTTTATTTATTTATTTATTCATTTTCTCGAGTCTTGTTTCATTCATTCATTCATTCATTTATTCTTCCAGTTGTTTGTTTGTTATTTCGTTAATTCGTTTTCGTTCATTCAGGTTTTAGTTCATAGTTTGACTGGTTATTGTAATTTATTTAAATCAGATTCTGAGTTTTAAGACGTTAAGGTTTGGTTGTTTTTCTTTAGAATGTAACTCTTATAGGATGTAACTGGCTCTTCTTTTGATGCACTGTAAGATATTGATCAAAAGAATGAAGAATCAAGGAGATTTAAAATAATAATTACTGAACATATAAAAGTATTGAAAAAAATATATACGAAAATTAAAATAACGCATTCTATCTGTCTCAATTTTTGCCAGTGCAATTTAATTGAGGATGGTGGTGTGGCAGAAACACCAGCAATTATGCGGGGGTGGCTCACGTTAGGTTTTCAAGCAAGCATCTCCATTATTATTTTTTATGTGTCTGGGTTGTTTTAAAACGTTGGTGATGGTGACGACGACGACGATGATGGCTTATAGTAATTATATTCCATATTACGTTAACGGCATAATCATTATTTATGATCCGATGTATGTCCGTAGAAATTTCCGTGGTAAAATGATTCGTGCGATTATTTCAAATGGTTGTAGGCTTGTTTAAAAAGATTTCTTCTGTTGCACAGTTATAATTGTAAGATCAGCAATGTTTATAAAAACATTTTTTAAGAACTGAGCATGCAAAATATTGTTTGTATGTAATTGTTTTTAGCGCTCAACCAACTGACCAACCAACCAACCAACTAACCAACCAACCAACCAACCGACCAACCAACCAACCGACCAACCAATCAATCGACCGACCGACCAACCAACCAACCGACCGACTAACCAATCATGTAAATTGCAGTATAGGCAATCTAATTCTATTTTTTGACGCCATCAACAACGATTCGAAGAAATGTTCTATAGTAATAATTTCTTCTTGATGGTTATTTTGGAAAATGGAAGCATTTCTTTTTTGCGGCCCAAATATGGCTCACTTGCTTATTACTGAATTACTTATTGAGAAATTTTTTTTTTCATTTTATATGTAATATAATTACCTATTACATAATTACCTTTAATATAATTAATAATTAATGACACTTTGAGATAAAAATTAAAAAATCAATTGCTACCTTGGAAACCAAGATAAATATACATGCATGGTTGCATGGTTGCCTTGCTATTTGAGGTTTTTATATCTTTATTATTATTATTATTATTATTATTATTATTATTATTATTATTATTATTATTATTATTATTATTATTATTGACTTTTCTATTGTAGTTGTGCTTTATTGCTATTATAGTTGTTATTGTTGTTCTTACTGTGATGTAATTTTCAGTATTTTTGGCCAAAAAGTTACTTTGATCAATTTTGAAGAGTGATGTTTGCAGTTGTAACTTGGTTTTTTCTGGTTTTTTTGTTGTTTTTTTTTGTATGTTTATCCTCTTTTCTCTCTTTTTTCTCTTCACTGTCTCTCTCCATTTTTTTGTCTCTCTCTCTTTTTCTGTCTCTTTCTCTTTCTCTCTTTTCATCTTTACTTTTGTTCCTCTTTCGTTCTCCTGTCTTATTCCTCCTTCATTTTCTCACATTTCTATGAGATATTTTATGGTCTTTGTTATTATTATTTTATAACAACAACAACTATTATTATTATTATTATTATTTTTAAATTATTTTTCCATTAAGCCTGCTATTGAGTTTGGTATAAAATATCTAATTAGTGGTCAGAACTCATTCACCATGTTACACTCATTCCAGGAATCTCTATTATTTTTAGTTGTTTGCCTTTCCATTCAAAATCATGCTAATGAATGTAATCTACTAAACTCTGTGACGTGTGGCTCTGTTGTAACAATTTTATTTTATAAAAGAAATATGAGTTAGAGTACGGACATGAAGAAATTTTGGAGCTTGTTAGAAATAAAAAATGGTAGGTAAAATATTTTGTAAGTTTGAAAATTAGAATAAGTAGGAATGGGATTATTATTAGATGCAGTTAAACATCAGTTGGGACAGGGGTGGGCAAACTTTTAGCTATGAGGGCCGCATTAAGAACTATAATAATATTTCACCTTAAGGCCACATATGTACTTTAATAGCAAAACTTTTTGACCCAGGAAGAATTTTTTAAGATTTGTGGCTCCTTTTTTTGGTCATAATGTCTGGCTGGCTTAGTTTTTCCACTCCTGAGTTAGCAAAAGTAACAAAGGTATATAATGTTTGATTAAATTGATAATTTGATGGTTTTGTATATTTCATTCTGAGCGGAGATTTAAGCAATAATTTGGTGGTTTTATATGTTTTATTTTTTTTTATTTTTTTTAGTTTTAGTTTGTAGATATTTTTTTCTATTCTTACAATGCTTTATTGATAATTTTTAAATTAGGGTAATGGAATTGTTGACATTTTTTGTTTTCCTCTCCTAACATTCAGGTGGCTATGTTGGATACTTTGTTCGAAGGTTAGCTGCTGTTGTTGTTGTTGATATTGTTGTCAGATGGTTGCTGATGTTGTTGTTGTTGTTGTTAATGTTGTTGTTGTTGCTGTTGATGTTGTTGTCAGACGGTTGCTGATGTTTTTGTTGGTGTTGTTGTTGATGATGTTGATGTCAGACGGTTGCTGGTGTTGTTGTTGTTGTTGATATTGTTGTCAGATGGTTACTGATGTTGTTGTTGTTGATGTTAATGATGATGTTAAAGGTATATCGGGTAACGGGTTTGATGGTGATAGTTAGACAACTATCTTTCTGCAGTTCACTCATCATTTTATTCAACCGTCTACCCACTCATCCATCAATCCATCCACCCATCCATCCATACAACCTTACATACATCCATCCATACATCTATCTATCCATCCAATCGTCCATCCATCCTATCAAACATCCATCCATCCAACGTTTCAGATGGAGCTGCGTATGTACTTGGCAAACTGAACAAGGATTGTTGGTATGCGATCATCCATCCATCCTACATATTGTTTTGTCGTCGCCTTACCATCCATTACAAATTGATTTGTATCTGCTTCAACATCCATTCACCATTGATTATGTTACTGTTGCAAGTTGCTGTTATTTCATTCTTAAATCAACAGCTTGATAAACTAAATCACATTGTATTTTACAACGAATCACAAATCCTTATTTGCTTACACGCACGCACACACACACACACACACACACACACACACACACACACACATACACACACACACACAAACACACACAGACACATAAAGACACACATACATTCACTCACACATACAAAAACACACACACAACACACACGCACAACATACACAACACACACACATACGTATCCATACTCACACTCATGGCATAGTACATATTTGGCATATTATTTGAGTACCTACCTATGTAATGATATAATAATTAAGCCCAACTAACCAACATTCCATGTTGTTATTCTATTTATTTCATACCACACTGCTATTAAAATTCAATTAAATTTAATAACTATTCAACAAATTTTTTCATAGATGTTATCTCTGAATTTATAATAAATAAATAAATAAATAAATAATAACTGTATACCTATTGATAAAATTTAAAATCATTTTTTTTCATCGACTTCATTCAAAATCTTTGAATTCTTTCCTAAATTGTTGAATTGAGAACAATGAAATTGAATTAGATTTAGTTGTTGACTTGACTCTGTTATTGTTGCCGCTCCAAACGTCTGCTCCTATTAAAAGTTGCATACATTTTCTTTTCATACATAAGTCGGCTTATAATTGTTCCAAATTAAAAAGTTTATCCAGTGTTTACTTAATGTTAATGCTCAAATACTGATGAGGTTTTTGCGGTGCATTGGATTCAGTTCGTTTGCTCTTTCTCATATGCTTGCAATTTAAAGGAGTTTGTTCTAAGTTTAAAGGAAAAGGAAAATTTTAATTACTATTTCCACACACACACACACACACACACGCACATTTTATAACTTATAATAGGATACATTTGTTCGTATTTTTATTTCATTGATCCGTTCTATATCCTGATTCAAATTAATCATAACCTTATCTTATTTCAGCCACATATATCTAATAAGACATAAAATTAATCACAGTCAAGCAATCGATCAATCAATCAATCAATCAATCAATTAATCAATCAATCGATCGATCAATCAATTTACCGATCGATCGATTGATCGATCGATCAATCAACCAACCAATCGTTCACTCAATCAATCTATCATCAATCTATCAATCAATCTATCAGTCTATCTATCAATCAATCTATCAATCAATCTATCTATCTATCGCTTAGACTATGTCGAAATCATTCTCTATAAGTTTATTTCTCCATCAGCTGTCTGCCATACATTCCTTTGCACTAAGATTCAATTAGATCAGTGCTAATGTAATATCTCCCTATCAATCAGCTTGTCTGTCACTGCCAATACCATTTATTTCGTCCATCCATTGATTCATTTTTGCAGGTACATATATACCTTGGATAGATTCAACATCACAGAGCCCGACCAGACATTAGAAATATCCTTTTTTAATTGTTTATATTTTTAAAATTTTTTTTAAAATATAAATTATTATTATTTTTCAAAATCTGTTGAGTTCGGGGTGGGGATATTTTTTCATTGTGATGTTTTGATTGGCATTCAAAAAGATATATTTTTTGGAATACATCAGGATAGGTCTCAAATATTACCAGCTGTTTTTACAGAATCATATCAGTTGTTTTTTTTATATATGTTATTTTAATCTAATCAAAATTCTAAAAGATTTTCACATATAATAATTTCCTTTTCATTTGCAATGTGTTCGGCTGCGTAGAACACACTGCCCTTTCTGAAAATTATTCAATTCAGATTAATTATTTGATTAATTTATAACATTATTAACATCGGTGTTATTATTTTTATTATTATTATTATTATTGCTTTATTCTGCTGAGTTCAGTACGTCTCAGAAACTCATAAATAACTTTCCTGCTGAAGATATTGTCCTTAATTGAATATTTTATCTTGCTTGGCCTGCTTCAATTCGTTCGGCTCTCTCGCGTTTGGTTGCCACCGTTATCACCTTTGTCGTCTTCATCGCCATCTTCATCGCCGTTTCTTACTGAATCATTTTTATTAATGTTAACACATCATGATGATGGATGTGAACCAAGATGTCATGAACATGTTCACCCAGTCCTATGGTCTCACCGCTAGTCAGCTAACTGAGGTAGGTGGTTGATTATTCATTCGTTCGTTCATTCGCACATTCCTTTGTTCGTTAGTTCATTCGTTTGTTTGTTCACTTATTCATTCGTTCATTCAATTTCTGTGACTTGTTTATTTTTTGTTTGTTTGAAAAGGGATGATGCTTGCTTGTGGTCAAATGTCTTCAATGACGTCAACATTTTCAGTCCAATGTTGCTCTTCTTTCCTTACTGCCTTCTTAATTCTTCCATGTTATCTTCCACACTGAAGACATTAATTTTTATATATTCATCTATCTATAATTGTATATATATATTACTAACAAACACTCAGACCAATACAAATTGACACAGACACACACAGACAAACAAACACACACACACACACACACACAAACCAAACACACACCAATCCCTCCAGAAAACAGGAATATTGGATATCCTGCCAGGGGCCATTATAGATGATTGGTTATTTGAACCATGTGGTTATTCGATGAACGCACTCCTACCAAATGTATGTACTCTACTCTACTCTACTGCACATTCTGTCGTTTTTATGTTTTGTATATTTTGTGTGTGTGCTTGTTTTTTGTGTTTTTATGTGTTTGTTTTTTCTGTATGTATGTGTTTGTTTTTTATGTCTGTATGTGTTTGCTTTTTCTGTCTGTATGTGTTTGATTTTTGTGTCTATATGTTTTATGTTCACGTTTGTGCGGTGTTTTGGTTAGCGGTATCTTGTGTAGATGGTGTTTTTTTTAGATCAATGTTTATTGACAAGTCGCTTACTTCAGTCGCTTCATGCTTTGGTAAATTGCCAACAGCGAAAAATGGTTTCGCGCTCTCCAATCTAAATTGAAATTAAAAACATGTAAATGGAAAGTGGAATTATATGTGAAGAGACCGGAAGAATCTCCATTTGTAGAGAAAAAATTATGCCAAAATAGGATTTGTCTCCTACTGCCAACTTTATTACTGTTGAAAATATTATAACGATGTATATTATATCAAAATAGGAATAAAATACAGAGTAGTAAGAAATAGTTGGATAGAAATATTAACGTTTAGTATCTGGTTTGTAAGAATCTAGTGTACTAAGCTTCCATGTAAACTTCAAAATTTTAGAATGTCAATCAGACAAAACTAATTATTATAGCACCTCAAAAACTTATAAAAAAATGCTCTGTGAAGTTTAGAAAAAGGTAATGTAATCAAATGATAAGTCAGTGATCAAACTCTAGCAACAGTTTTATAATTTAATCAATATAAGCTTTGCTTTCCATTTGTTTGTTTATTTTATATAACATAGTACCTACACTTATAACTCCACAGCTTGCGCTGTATGCGTTAGTTAGTTAATGAATTCCTCTAAGAAGTCTGAAACCAATACAGAAACGAAAATCTTCGAAAGATGATGAATAATCAGATAGATGGTCGTTTATACAAGGATTGGTACATTTGATTAGTTCAGATTGAAGTTTGTGTTTCAGATGTTATAAATTTTCAGGTTTTTACGAAACGATAATAATAAGAATGATGATAAAGAAGAGGATGTGAGGTGCTATGTGGTTACACTGCTTTATAATTAGTTCTTCTGATGTTTAGCTGTCAGCTTTAATAATTAGAAATTTTAAAGTTCGTTTTAAAATTTTTTAAGCCCGTTGATTTGAATGGTTTATTTAATGAAATCGAAAGTTGAAAGCTGATGATAAAAAGTAAACATGCATGCAAATATCTGGGTTAAATTGAGATTAAATTAGAAATTTTTAACCACTTATAGCTGTTCTATGATGAGATTTGATAATTGTCTTCGACTTCTTCTTGCTGAATGTATGTACGTTTTATGTGTACATGAATGAAGATAAGTTAGTTCAAAATGTAAGTAGCTCTAGCTAGAGGCTTGTTCTTTTCATTACAATGTCTCAAGTGCCGTTTTTTAAACTCTGTGTCATCTTCATCATCGTCATTGTCATCATCGCCGTCATTAATATCATTATCTTCATCATCATTGACATCACCATAATTTACTAATCTTCCACACTCAATATAATTCAATGTAATCCGTCCAGTGAAATGGATTTATATGTATAAAATCAGTGCATTCTAGCCAGTTTTGTCGGAATCGGGCTCGGCCCCTCAAAAATATCCGACTCAGAATCCGGATAAAGTTTTTCACTCCGGGTTTAGAATTTCGGAAAAGTTTTTCAAATTTTGCATCATAATTTCATCTTATTATCACTACTAAATAAAAATACTCTAGAAAACTCTTAAAATCGGTCAGTGTAATTGTTTTTTTAGTGGTAAAATTATTTTATTTTTATGTTTTTTTTTTATACACATTATTAGCATTTATTTCCAGTATTTAAGATGATTGCTTATTGCTACGTATATTTATTTTCTGAAGAACACAATCTTAAAAAAATTTTCAGGAAAAAAAATAAAAAATTTTAAAAAAGTAAATAACATTTTCCGGAGTCGGAGCTGAGCTGGAAAAAATCCGGCCCCTACAAAAAATCCGACTCCGACACTAATTCTTAGATTCTTACACAGAAGCGCACACAAATACACGTACGCACACGCACGCACACGTACACACGCATATATATATATATATATATTTTAATATATTCTATATATTCTACCGAATGTTTGGCGTTAATATGTTTGTAGTTCGTTTTTTCGAAGTTTTTTGGTGAGAAAACTTTAGTGAGAAAAATCGAA